GCTTACCTACAGCCCTATCTTATGGAGGCATTTTCTTAAATGAGGTTCCCTCCCTTCAGATGACTCCATCCTGCATCAAATTGACATAAAACTAGGCAGCAAAAGCTGGCATCCCAGCCCTGGGCATCTGCTGCACAGTCACTGTACTCTATTGCTACTAAGGAAAGGGTGAAATTAGCTAACTGGTTATCACTATATCCAGTTATTCATGATTTTTTACATTTTAGTTCAAGATATATTTTTCTAGTCTAATTTCAAGCTTGTTTTCTCAATGGAATTTTAGCTCTTGCTCAACCCAGCGTACCTGCTCACAGCACTGGGCATTTCTACTTTGGGTAGGAATCCTTCCTGTATTTTTCAGACTTGACTCCATTATCAAGGCCATCTTCTGTTGAACTTTTTTTCTAATGTTCCTTCCCAATTTGTAAAAATGAAATCATCCCATTTGTATTGCTCCAAAGCACCTTTGCCAGCTATCTGATTTAGCTTCCTGGATCTTCTCAGCATTTCATCCTCAGGTCCTCTAAGATTACGATGGAAACTCCTAATATAGATCACTAGGCTTAGACTAGCAGAGGCACCCATGGAGTGTAAAATAGTGGGCCCTGTAATCATGTGGGACAGTCAAATTGTTTATGGAGTTGCCGCCACACAACTCACAGTTGTCTTCATGGGTTTTTCTTTTTGTTCTTTTTGTTTTCAATACCTCCTGACCACAGTTTCCCCGCTGCCCACCCCTCCCAGCCTCCACCCTCACTCCAGATTCACTCCTCCATTTCCCTTCAGAAAGGAGCAGGCCTCCCAGGGATATCAACCAAACTCTGCATAGGTTTTTCACTGGAGCTAGAAGATATTGTGTAGCAAGGTAATGGATTTCATTTTGCAGATAAAGAAACTGAAAACAAGAAAGAAATCCTGCTTCCCGCCATCAACTTCTGGCCTGACTAAATGATCTATCTGATCACCTTTCAGTCAGCATCTGAGATGGGCACTTTAGGGGGCCTCTTTGAGAGGAGGGATTTTATGTACCCACTTCATTTTCAACTCCTAGGGAGGACTGATACACACACTGAGGAGCTATACTACCCGCTCCCATGGTCCTTCTTAGGGTATGTGTGCTGTAATGTCCATGTATTTTCCTCTTAAGACTTGGGAATTTCATGACCACAAACAAGGGTCCAATTTGAAGGCTTCTTTAGGCCTTTTCTTTCTTTCTTTCCCCCCTTTTTTCTTTTATTTCTTCGGTCTCAGCCTAATGTCTGTCACTTCCAAAGATGACTGGTGTGTCAGATATTTCAAGACTGAGAAGAGGGCATGCAGGACTATCTCCTTGGATGGTAGCAACACAGCACTGTCCTGGGCTAGTCCAAGTCCACAACCTAGCTGGCTCGCACATGTTCTCACAGCCAAGACTGTCTTGCCCTTTGGTTTCCCTGGACTCGGGATTTTAAAACCAGCTTTTCTAAATAAACATCTTGGTCTAGTTCGAAAAACCAAGGGTCTGTGTGAAATGTGAGCAAGTCTTGAGTGACAGACACAGATTAGCAGAGTATGATGGAGGTGCTGCAAAAGAAAATATGCTATCTCAGGCCCAACAAATGAGAACCAAGATTTTTGCAAAGCTGGAAAGCAGAGATCCAGGGAAATGTTATAGTCCAGCCATTCAAACCAGGCTAGGGGAAAGGATTTACACAAGCAAGTTATAAGGTGAATTAACAGTGGTTTGCCAGTTAACATTTATTGGGCTGATTCACATTGCTAATTTTTGGTAAAGATGTCTAGAATGTCATTGAAGGTCACGGAACATCATAGAATACTATAGAAAGAATTGAGTTGAACTGATAAAGCTTATTCCCTCTTTGTGGAAATGGAATGACTGGCGCAGAAGGGGATCAGATTGGCCAAGGTCTCCCAGCAAGTCTGAGGCAGAAAGGAAAGCAGACCCCAGCTCTAACAGCCCTGTCAATTCCTTTGCTTCCCAAAGGCAGTGGCAGCCGTCCAAGTCTTACCAGTTCAGCATCTGGATCTTTACAAGGTAGACAGGATCCAGTAGAGCAGCAGAAAACTCTGCAAGGGAGGTGGGGTAGGGGGGGGTTGGGGGGAGTGGGGGTGGAGGGGTGGGGGTGGGGGGTGTCATTGTTCTCTAATCCTTCCCTGCTCTGCAACCTCAGTCCACTTCCCCCTCCCCTTTTAGACATTGACAGAGTTTTCAAGCCGGGATTTCTGTACATTCCAGAGCTGGTTATACAACTGGATTCTTTGTTGCTCCAGCTCACCTGGCACTGGCAGTTACTAATGCCACTTAATGTCTTTAGGCTAGTTAGAGGCCTAAGCTCAGCTGGCTCCCTGCCACATTCCAGACACAGTAGCCTGCAAGGCTGGTCTGACAGGCCTCCTCACAGTTCCTCAGTCTGACCTCTGGTTAGGGCTCAGACAAAACTTCTTTCAGTACTTAGATTTTTCCAGAAAAGGGATCTGCACAGAACGAGACTCACAACTGAAGGAGAGTGCTCTGGAGATCTTGAGAATCATTCCATGTACTTTGGAGGGTATGAAATTTGAGTGAGAGTCAAACTATAGAAACAGTTAGTTACCTTCCTAAGACGAAAAGTGAAAGCTACCCTCAAAGGCGAGCATAGGTATATATTCCAAATATGCCCCAGTCGCTGGTAGTCCAAGTAACCTCAGAGAAGCAGCTTCCTTTCCTGGGCAGCACTAGGCCCTTGGTGACTGCTGGCTGTTGACCTCTATCTCGCCTTCCCTAAGGGCCTGAAGCAGGAGGCAAGTGGTGTGGTGTGGGGAAAGGCAGGTCACTTTCCTGACAGGTGATCTCCTTTCTGGGAACACCAGCCACTAGGCCCTGCTGCCACACTTAATAATGGACCAGCCACGGTGCCAAGGGGTTCTGCAGGCCCTACAATCTTTACGGCTCCCCACTTCCCTGCCCCATTTCTCCCAGCTGGTCTCAAACAACGTGGAAAAACTCCTTAGTAGCAACCTGGGAGCAGTAGCGCGAAAAGCACCAGCCACGGAAATAGGAATGCTTGCAAAATCGAAACCGAGTTTCAAGAATCTGGCTAGTCCCATCTGGGCGGGACTAGCTCTTTGAGTCGGGTGTGTAGCCACGCTGAAACCCGCCCCGCGTGGGGGCGGAAGTGGGGAGCCCGGGCTAGGGGTTCGGCAACCTCTCCGCCCCCTGCCAATACCACGCCCGGTTTATTTGCATTTAAAGAGAGAAGAACCAAGGAAAACAGTGGGCGGGCCAGGGCATGCCTTCCCACTGTAGCGATTGGACCTCATGCCTGCCAATCAGATCACGGACGTCCCACCCTGTAACTGTGGAGTCCAGGGTGAAAGGGGTATGGGGGAGCTGCCCAGAGCCTGGAGAAGGGTAGTCGGTGCAGGAGAATGCTGTAGCTGTGGTGTCGGCTGCGGCAGGAGCAGTCGTGGCGGCGTTCTCAGCAGAGGCTCCAGCTCAGAGCAGAGCAGCTCAGCAGACAATAACCGCGCTGGGAGCTGGACCTGGCAGGGTAAGCATTGCGCACAGCTAGGAGCCATCCTGCTGAAGGTCTAGTGCATCCCCGCGTGCTCTGTTCTGGTCGCCTGGAGGAGGGCATCAAGGGCCAGGCTGGTCGGAGTCCCGGTCTCTCGCCGCTCTTTCTTGGTACTCGCTTTTCGTACTGTCCAGTGAGGGGCCCAGAGGCGGTTAGTCTTTAGGGTACAGGCGATCGTGGCTGGGGGTGGGGTGGGAGGGCCGGAAGGCGGGCGGACTAGCCTGGGCTACGCCTCTAGGTTGTAAGGGGAGGCTGGGATGGGCCCACATGTGCTGTTGCGTGGTTCTGGGAGGGGCGCCGCTAGCTAGCACCCCAAGAATGTGTTTGCAGGCCGGGAACTCCTTAGCTTTGTTTGTAGTACATTTGCTGGAACAGCTGTTAGGCCGGTGCTGCTCACCCGCGAGGCCTTGCTGTGGCCCCTCCCCTCTGCGGTGCATCTCCTATGTCTCTCCTCTGCAGAGGAAGCTGGCGCGCTAGCCAGGGCCAGACTGAGACTGGCTTTAGGATAGGTTAAGATATCCACAGTCTGTTCCTCCTCAAGGGAGCACAGTTGGGTTTCTGAACTTCCCACTTAGCCTTGGAACCTTGGTCCCGTGGTCCCAACCAGCCGCACCCCCTCCTGGGCCTCCAGTTCTCATTTGGCTCCCACCCCCATTGCAGGCGGGCTGGACCAGGAGCTCTTACTGGTCTTTGGGTTAGAGCTGCAAGGCCGCTTTGTTGCCGCCCCCAACACCCCCGCGCGTCTCTTTTCCCTTGTAGGGCATAGGGCGCGTTTTTCTCTCCAGCCTTTGGTTTAAAATAGCAATGGGCACAATATTGTGGGGGTATTTCTGTACTAGAAGCGGAGGGGGCAGTCATCGTAGTAAAGAACACACGGTGTATGTAAGGCAGACAAATCTTACAACTTCTCAGTTACTTAAAACACCCAGCCTGCCAGACTGCTGTCATTGTCTGCTGCAGACACCTCTGACACTGGTGACCGCCCAAAGGCGTGACTTCTTCTGAGCTCCCCTTTGAGGGGCTAAGCTTGCCAGAGGAGCCATGGGTAGGGGGGAGGCAGAGGCGGCAGCCGGACTAATACTGCAGAACCATCCTCCCCCTAGCTGGACTCGCCTTGATAGGAGTCTAGACAGCCCTGTCCGCATACAAACCTCTTCTGCGGCTCTGGCCCGCCTGCCTTGGCAGCAATGGCATGGACAGGACCCAGGGCACTGCATTGTTGGACTTCCTGCCCTAATCAGAGGAGATTCCAACAAACCCTATTCCCCAGGTGCAGTACCCCTCATGTGTCCTATGCTGCACCACCCTGGACTTTTCGGGCATTCCTGAAGGATAAGAGAGGCGATTTGACTAAGGGACTTTGCAGGCTGGACATTTTTGGAGTTGGGCAATGAGACCCAGTAAATCTTTTACTTGGGAAGGTTAGCCTGGAATCTCCTTGCTAGCATCCAGGATTGCAGATAGCACACTATTGTTACCCCCTGCCTATGTTTACCAGACCTCAGCACACACCTCTCCTTGCAGCTGGACTTTTATATCTCAGGTGTGGCTCTTTTCTGCTTACTTCAGCCCAGCAGCCAACTTTCCCACCCTCAGACACTCACCATACTCCTGTCCAAGTCCTTTTCAGGCCCCAGTTCTCAAGCAACTTTTTCAGGCTGCTCCTTGATGACCAGAACTCTTTCTTGAAACTTCCTGTATAGGTAAGTTTCCCTAACAGCTTTCTTTCCCTCATATAGATATCTGGGTTCTCTCACAACCCTCAGAGGGGTAAATAAATCTTAGACTTCAGCTATAACCCTCTCAGACCCTAGCATTATAAAGCAGTTAATGAATGAATGTTCCAGAAGGACTTTCTGTCTTTGTAGAGTTTTAGAAAACACCTTTAGCCTTAGTTTGTTTGTCCCAATCCATGAAACTTAAAGAAATGGTGCCCGAGGCCCAGATATATATGTAATGTGGGTGGGAAGGGAGATTGGGTTGCTACTACATTAAAAAAGAAAGTCATAATCAGTCCCCTCTATAATAACCTCAGGGTCTGGACTGCTCAAACCCTGGGGCTCTGTATACTTGGGGTTGCTGATTCATGAGCGTACAGGCAAACTGCCATGGAAGAGATCTATGTGTGCAGTGGGGGTGTCATCTTTTAAAGCAGCTGGGAAGTATAGGAGTTTGGTAGAGAAAGAGTAGACAGAATTAGAAATGAAAGGGAGTGACTGGCAGGCAGGGTGAGTCTGGTTGAGATGGCCTAGCTCGAAGGTACAAAAGAGCTTAGGACCCAATGGTGGGAATTTTCAAATACCAAACATTGGAATGGTCATCAAATGTTTTCAGGGGGAGATCATTGAACAATGGGTGACTAGGATGTGTGTGTGTGTGGTTCTTTTATTTATTTTTGAGGGGGAGCTTGGTTTTATTGTTGTTTTGAGACAGGGTCTCACTGGGTAGTTCCAGCTGTGCTGGAACTTGCTTTGTAGGCCAATGGCCTTGAACCCATTGACAGTTGCCTGTCTTGAATGTTAGGATTAAAGTGGAGCACTACCATGCCCAGCCCAAGAATGGAGTTTTTGAAAGGGTTTTTTAATGGGGTCTTTCAATCCTTTAAAAGGGATTGAAAGCATTCTACAAATCAGGTAGGTAAGAGGCCACCTCTAAATCTATAAATAGAACTGTGGACATGCTGTCTCCAGAATGAAGTTCCACACTGTCAGCTTCCCTTTGGTGGGGAGCAGGGAGGGCATCTCAGCCTAAATAGTTTCTTACACAAGGCTAAGAAATATCCTCCAGACCTCTTTTAACCCGTTTCCTCTCAGCTCCACAGATCTTAGTGTGGAATATCAGTTAAGATCCCTATGGTCATAGATGTGCCCTGGAAAGCAAGAAAGGTCACATAATAATTGAAGGATAGGTTAGTGCTACTGTGTGGTAGCCCTTTCTGCTGTGGCCCAAGGTCTCCAGCAGGCTCCACTCAATGCACATCTTTGATAAACTACTCCCTCCTCCCACCAGCCCATTCCTCAAAAGTGAAGGCTCCCTGGGTTTATGTGGCAGTTGCATCATGGGAACTCCTCACCCCTTTCATATTTTTTTTGCCTCTCAGTCTGCCAAATGTTGGGGGCTGGAAGTGTCAAGAGGAGAAAGGTATTTGGGAAAAGTTGACACCTCAAGAACTATCCTATTTACACTCAAAGTGTGTATGAAAGAAATGGCCCTGTTTCACTATTCTAGAGAAATAAGGGAATGGGAGAAACAGCAGGAAGCTTGTCATGGCATGAGTTTGCTTGTAGAACCATTACTGTCTAGGGGTCCTGATCATGTTTGTTTTCTCTGCACAAATAATTAATCTTGAACGCGCAGGTAGCAGTGAGGGAAATTCTGGAACACAGCAAACAGGAGCAGACAGAATCGGCCAGTAAAGAAATGTTTTTACTATGGGTAGTGAAATACACACAGACACAGACACAGTCACACAGCAAGCATACAAAGGGAAAGACAGTTACAATACAGAGGGACACCCAGGAAGCCTAAGCCCTGCGCCTCCTGGAGGGCTTGTTTCTGTTTTTAAGTCTCTGAAGGGTCTTCCTTCCCTAATTTAGGATTGGTCAGTTTCGAGAAAGACAGGACAGCTGATTGACCCACAACTGATGTGTAAACATGTCCTGATCTGGCCTTGAACTTGTTGAGCAAGTCTGTCAGCAGAGGGCCTCTGGCAGGAGAAAAAGGCTGCAAGGCTTTTGTTTTAAGCTGCCAGGCTTTGTGTCTCAGGTGAGGAGGGTGAGGAAGAAGCCAGCCATGTTGGAAGCTCACTGTCTTTATTACCTAGCCATGGACCCCTCTGCCCATCTCTCTGCCTATCAGGGAATACATGGAACTCCAAAATCCTATTCTCTCGGAACCAAAGACAGAGAATGGGGTTCCAACTTTCTCCCTCACAGTTAGGCTGCCTGAAACGGAAAAGGGGAACTCCTGATGTTATCAGTTTCTCTGCACAAATCCTGCTTAGGCAGATAAACTAGATGCTAAAGCTTTAGCCCCCCCAGAGGAAGTATCTCATCGCCTTTCTGAATAGATGGAGGAGGTGAAGCCTGTCTCTGATCATGCTTTTGCTTGACTAGTATTGATACCCTGGTAGGCTACACAGACAGAGTACCAACCTTTGAGGAGCCTCCAAGGGAGGGGCAAGTAAGTAGATCTCAAAGACCCTGTCCTGATTGTGAGCTGAGTAGTGATCCATCAGAGAAATCTGGGGCACCAGGAAGATCCTCAGGGGTGGGGCGTGCCTGAGTAGTGGAATACTTTCCTTGCACTTGGAGATAATGTGTTTGTTACCCCAGCACCAAAAACCAAACACCACAAAAATAAAACAGAAAAAGAAAACTCATCAGGTAAGCTCATTTCTAGGGAGAGGCTGTGTCTTGGTACTCTATCTTTTGAACTGAATAAAAGTCCTGTATATTTGGAGCTGAGACTGTAGGGCAGAGAAGTAAGGCTGAAAACTTTCAAGGGGGCACGCAGGAAAAGGTCAGACAAAGGGGTTTGAATAGAAGGCCTGGGTCATCTTCAGAGGACTCGGTGGCAGCTGAGGAACAACTAGAGAGAAGGTACCTTGATTGTAAGCAGTCTCCTTGAAAGGTCCCATTATGTAGTATCTGTTCCATGTGTAGTAATTAGTTGCCTTTGCATTGATCATCTTTAATCCATATAACCACAATCCTGCAAGGTAGGTAATTTTTTTTTCATTTCACAGATAAGGCATTTCTGTCTCAGAGATATTTTCTCAAATCATTTTGCCTGTAAGGGGTGAAACTGGCATTCTAGTTTCAGACTGACAAACTCCAGCTGAATTAGAGTAGCACTGAACCAGCATCCCCAAGCTCCTGCTCCATGATAGGTGCCGTGACTATGAGAGAGGGAGTCCTTGTGAGCAAGCTAAATGGACAGACTGCAGCCTGCCAGAAGGAAATAAGCAAGGATGAGTACATGCACAAGGCAGCTGAGGAGCTGGCGAAGGAATCAGGGAAGCAGGGAAGCAATAGAAGGCCAGGTTTGGGATTTGTGCTGCATCTGGAGTTGATGAGTTACTTTCTGGAAGGGAGCCTTCCCACAGCAGGGATGCTGCGAATTAGGAAAGGGTGGTTGCAGGAGTGGGTAAGAGGGACTCTTTCAACCACTTCCACGGTTCCACCCAAAGATCCAAACCACACCACGAAAATCTTGACCTCAGGCCTAGTCTACAGGCTCTAGTAATGTACTACTCCAGTACCAGATAATCTCAGAGGTCATTATCTTTTTTTTTTTTACATAGGGTTTCTCTGTGTAACAACAGCTCCGACTGTCCTGGAACCCACTTGAACTCACAGACATCTGCCTGCTTCTGCCTCCTGAGTGCTGAAATTAAAGGCGTGCACCACCACCGCCCGACTCAGAGAAGTCATTATCTTTAAGTAGCTCAAACTCTTCAAAATTGTCCACTTTGGCAGCTTTCTGTTTCAGCCCTTTTGGCACCTCAAACTTCTCTCCCAAGGAAACAGAACAGAAGATACGTTTCATAACTTGAAAGTAGTGGTGATAGCATTGCTTGATGAGGAAAGCAGTCACAGGCTGAAGAGGTAGCACCTGGATTCTCAAGACATCAGGGTTTTTGTTTTTTGTTTTTTTTTTAATGTGCTGGGTAAGGCCAAAACAGCAGTAGCCAGCAAGGACAAGAATTCTTTCAGGAAAAGTTAAATTGAGCTGGGGCAGGGTGGAATAAGGAAAGAGAATGCTGGCTATTAAAGGTATGAAGGGAACTTTCACAGTTCTCCTGGGCCACCTTTTTAAAAACCTATTTTATCGGTTCTTTGAAAATTTCATAAATGTGTTTTGATCTTATTCACGATCCTCCTAATTCTTTAATTGGGGGCCCCACATAGTGAAGCACAGTGGCATGGAATTGAAACTCAAGAGGCCTGGAAGCTACTCAAGTTCTGCCATAATCCCATTAGTGACTTTAGACAAATCTTTCCCCTAGTCTAGGCACAGTTGTCTTTTCTGTGACAAGGAGTTACCATTCCCCACCAGCAGGGATTAGTGGGTTGCTGAGAGGGGACAGTGGGACAGGTGAAAAGGGAATGTTTTGTGTACTGGTAGGTACCCTAAGTCATTCAAAGATGTCTGTTAATTGCCTTTCTTTTGATGATGGCATTTTTACCTCAGTTTAAAATGTTGATTTTTCTGGTCTGGACTAAGGAACCTAGCTAGACTCTCCCAGATGATCTAGAGGTGCTTGCTCTCTGAACATTGAAATTTGGCCTAATGAGCAAGTTAAGCTTCTGTGGACTAACTACAATCATCAGGGGAAACAGCCAAGGTTTCCGACATGCCTGTAGAACTTTGGAGAACACCCTAGTCAACCCTGACTGGGGTAGATTTATTGCTAGAAATTGTCCAGTCATAGTTGGAATAAACATTAATACAATTTGCCATAATGTTTGAGCTTCTGCTGTGCGATGCATTTTCTTTGGTACTTTACATGCATTGATTTTGTTCCCACAATTGTCTCAGTAAGTAGGAATTCTCAATAGCCCCATTTCACAGTTGAGGAAATTGAGGGTCAGACAGGTTGGATAACTTGCTGAGTTTTCCCCAGTGTAGCATAGCTAATTCTAGTGAAGGACTGTCTGGCTCTCTAGGGAAAGACACCCACCGTTCTCACATCTTTCTT